CCCCGCGACCCGGTTCCGGATAAGCGGAGGAAAATGGATGGATGGATAAGTTGACTTATTCAGAGGTTTTTGGGTTGGTGTTGTACATCTGTAGGCCAGGCTGTCATTTGTTTGTTTTAGCAGCTGAAATGGTCTATGGTTGTGGTCTCTGATGGTCTGAGGAGCCTTCTTGACACCGATTGGTGTAGGTCCTGGATGGATGGAGAGAAGCTCATGTCCACTGAAGGTCTAGGCTGTCTACAAAACTGTGGAGAACTCTGTGGTTGCACCACCACACCTTTCATTCAACAGGTTAGGATGCTCTTAATGGAGTTATTGTATGTGTAAATTGAAGCTCTGTGCTCTACCAGGAGTGGGGTTCGAACCCACGTGGGTATTTACCCATTGGATCTTAAGTCCAACGCCTTAACCACTCGGCCATCCTGGTACTCTTATATGTAAGTTACACTTCATAACGGGGCCTACATTTCCTACAAGGCAACTTGCCAGTCAAAAGTTTGGTCAGAGCTGTCCACAAAACTCTCTGGTTGTGGGTAGAGCTCTTACCACACCTTTCATTCAGCAGGTTAGGATGCTCTTAATGGAGTTATTATATGTGTAAATTGAAGCTCTGTGCTCTACCAGGAGTGGGGTTCGAACCCACGTGGGTATTTACCCATTGGATCTTAAGTCCAACGCCTTAACCACTCGGCCATCCTGGTACTCTTATATGTAAGTTACACTTCCTAACGGGGCCTACATTTCCCACAATGCAACTTGCCAGTCAAAAGTTTGGTCAGAGCTGTCCACAAAACTCTCTGGTTGTGGGTAGAGCTCTTACCACACCTTTCATTCAGCAGGTTAGGATGCTCTTAATGGAGTTATTATATGTGTAAATTGAAGCTCTGTGCTCTACCAGGAGTGGGGTTCGAACCCACGTGGGTGTTTACCCATTGGATCTTAAGTCCAACGCCTTAACCACTCGGCCATCCTGGTACTCTTATATGTAAGTTACACTTCATAACGGGGCCTACATTTCCTACAAGGCAACTTGCCAGTCAAAAGTTTGGTCAGAGCTGTCCACAAAACTCTCTGGTATGCTCTTAATGGAGTTATTGTATGTGTAAATTGAAGCTCTGTGCTCTACCAGGAGTGGGGTTCGAACCCACGTGGGTGTTTACCCATTGGATCTTAAGTCCAACGCCTTAACCACTCGGCCATCCTGGTTAACTGTTATGGTTTTTTGTTATCTGTTCTGAAGTAATCAAGAGCACTTAAATGAACTGATGATTTGTTCAGAATCTGCTAAAGCACTGAGTCTTTTCAACATGAAGGCAGATGAGTCTCTTAAGATTCTGATCCCACCTGTCAGTGCAACCCTCGGTTTATAAGTGCAGTTCAGGAGGAACATAGGGCAGGTTGTCCACTGATCACAGGGCTGGGGGTTTTCTAATCTATTGAGCCTTTTCTTTTCTTACCAGCAAAAGATTTGTCATTGCATCTTGAATACACGTTAATTATTCAGCTGAATGATTAATCCTGTTGCTGTGACCTAAAATGTGACTGTACACCTAAGTGAGCATCTGTCTGTTGTGTAACTCATTTAAATACTTACAGTAGGTGTTTACCTCTAGAAAGATATAAACCACGGGTTGAGTATGTACAAGTTTTAGATTCAAATGTGTATTGTCTAAAGACAGATGTGACAGTCAGACACAACTGACACCAGGCTCATGTACTGACACAGTAAAATTAATTACACCAACACTGAATTCTCTGAAATTGTGCTAGAACTCACACATGCACAAGCTGTAAATATATAAAAAATCCAGGTGGTAAGGTAATGTGAATTTAAAGTGAAAGCTCTGCGTTTTATCTGCAGGGCTCCAGCTCGCTATTAGATTGTAGCAATATGGAGATAAATAGAGGTAAAAGAAAAATCACAATGCAGCAGGCTGCTGAGTCATCACATTTTATCTTCATAAAAGGGAGGCTGCAGATTCTGTACATTCATCAGTTTTCTCTTCAACATTCCTGCCTGAGTTTGGGCAAGCACACACTCAGATACTGTGATAAACATTCACACAAGTAGACGCACTCAATGAAACATCAATTTATGAACACAAAGACTGACACACATACTACAACATGCACATACTTTGCAAAAACCAATGACGTAAAACTGTGTGTGTGGTGGTGGGTGCGGGGGTGTGTGTCTGTGTTAAACCTCCTGGAGGTGCCAGCCGGTCCTGGAAAAGATGGAAAAGAACCATTGTGGATAAAAACAGTTACTCATTGTCTGGTGTTCTTCTCTCTCTCTCTGTCTGTCTGTTTCTCAGGAGAATGAGGTCACATAATATCTACAGGTCAGAGACAGGGTAGATGGTTTGTATGCAGTTGGTATGCACTTCTACCACTGACTGCAAAGTCAAACGTTTTCCGCTGCTTCCCGCTACCTACATATTTGCTGTCTAATGATCAACCACTCAGTTTTTATTGACTAAAATTACCCAGTCATTGGCTGTGGTGAACTATCTGCAGGGCCCCACAGGGCCACTCACATGTGTATCTGACAGATCGATGAAAAATGTGAATGCATGCTTAAACGGATAACTGGTTGCTTATAAATATGAATGCATTTCCTCCCATCATTTTTCATTTCATAGACAGCTTCTGAAATCCTGTGACTGTGTCGCACCCAGTGTGCGATATTTCACCTATATGTAGAGGTAGAAAAACACATTTCAGCAGTTCTTTTGGAATGTTTTTTCCTCTAATGTCACACTTTACTGATTTTATTTTCGGTGTCAGAATAATATATTTTCCAAGTCCTTGTCTCCCTCTTTCAGCTCCCTCCTCCCTCTCCTCCACTCCACACAGGACCGATGTCATGGTGGTTACAGCAGTATGATGTTCATCTTTAAATAACACACAGAGCTTCTGTGAAGTTTCCTGGGAGCTAGATTCATTTAAAGAGCTTTTTAAAACAGTCTGGCAGAACTTTAGAAAAGCAGCTCAGTCTAATCAGTGAAGATCTGCCACTGGGATGAAGGCATAGGAGACGATACTCTTTTCAGCAGAAAACCTTTCCTTTAATATAAAATGAAAGTTAACTCTAAAGAGAATTCTGAAGTAATAAAATTATTCTTCTGATCCCTCAGGGGTGAAGGGTGTTTCAAATCAATATTCCTCAGATGTTATCTTTCCATTCAGCATAAGAAAATTGTTTTGCAAGCCAACAACCTCCCACAGTTTTAAATAAATACAAAAACTGATATAAAAAAATTAAAGCTGTTCTATTTGAGGTCCGCCTACACTGCCATTTAGCCCTTTATTTAGGCATACTGATGGCCGTCAAATAAATAACCTTGAAGAGCTTCGGCTAAAAGTGAAATGCAAAGCGACACTTTTGTAGAAGTCCATTTAGTTTTATGATGTAATTTTCTGTCTTTGAAAGGTAGCAGGAGTTTAAAAGCATGGATCCACAAATCATGTGTATTTTTTATAAAGATGAAGCAGGATAGGCTGGTGATGTTTAGGAAGAGATGCTTTATAACCCCAAAGTCAAATTCAGTTCCATTTAATGCTTTTAAAGGCTCACTAATACTTTCATTATAACTACAGAAAGATACATAATACATTATGCAACATTTATTTCACCTACCTCAACAAAGTATTGTCCCTTCACACTGTCATGTTCACAATTTACAATATTATAAAAGGAAAGGGCCAGTTGCAAACATCAGAAATCCAAACACAAAATCTGATTTGTACATGCACAAGAAGCTATATTCAACAAATACCTTTCTGTTAAATGAATTAGCCAGCTGAAACCACACACACCTCAGTAACAGTGAGCTTGTGGAAGCCAGGTATAACTGAGAACCATTGTTTGCAAACAGTACCAGGAGTGGGGTTCGAACCCACGTGGATATTTACCCATTGGATCTTAAGTCCAACGCCTTAACCACTCGGCCATCCTGGTGCTCATGCAAATAAGTTCCATTTCATAATGGGGCCCATATTTCCCACAATGCAACCTGACAGCCTATAGCTCGGTTAGAGATTTGCGTGCATTAGGATTGTAGTGGTCAATGCAGCCCTGAGCCTGTAGCTTTAAACAAAGACGAGAAGTGGGTTACAGAGGACTGGGGTATACCCTGATTCCCTTAATTGCATCCTCGTGTCCTTCACTTGTGTCTTAGTCCCACCCACATAAGATACAAGGAGAAGATGCAAGGAGAGAGGAATTGAGGAGACATAAGATGTCCTTTTCGTGCCCTTGCCTGAAGTGTCCAATCAGTAGCTGAATTTCAATAAAGGGTTGTGTTGGTCCATAAAAGATTTCAGTGAAAATGTTGACTTCTTCAGAGATGTTGTCTTCAGACATCACTTGAATTTATCAGATTTCACACAGCTACCCCTGGACACACAAAAGAGTTTATACAACTGATTGTCACGTATGCATAGTGCTGCCCAACAACAACATATGTAAACACACTTGCATGTGTAAAATCAGTGCAGCTCTCCTTTAAGGTTGTAATTAGAGTAAGGACTAGCCTGGATTGTTCAGTAATCTTTTAAATTACTCTGCACGTGCACAGTCTGGTTTCTGGCAGCGTTTTCGTTTTTGCGGTGAAGTAGGTGTCTCATGGAGTAGAGGAAAATGTATTTTATTAATCAGTTAATTAACACAGCAAACATTAAAAAGCTCTGTAAACTGAGAAACTGGAGAAGGAGAGATTTGCTTGTTACATTAAGTTATCTTCCTTTGTCCTATTAGTTGTAACATTTCTGATATAAATACTTTAATCAGACTTATTACTGCAAAGGCAGCCTCCCTGATGTTGTTGTAATCCCTTCCAATAAACAACATTATTCTCTATTCACTGTGTCTTCACTAGGAGCAGATCAAGTAGAACCAGTTTCTGAATTTGAAGCTGCCAAACCAAGCTAATGCATCAAAACTAATCTTTAATTAGCTTGAAAATTTGCTCTCTCTCTCCCTCTCTCTGTCTCAGGTGTTCTCCCAGTCACTGTGAACATGGCGGCCGCTGCAGTCAGTCCTGGACCGTCTTCCACTGTAACTGCTCTGACAGCGGCTAAAACGGGGTGTAAGTCACCTGTCAGACAAACATCACCACATGAGCACCAAGTAAATGAGGATGATAGACAGGGAGAGAGTTGAGATGGGACGGATGAAATGAGTGATGTGGAAGTGTGCTAAATAAAATAATGATCATTTGAACCCAGAGACACTGTAAACAAAGAACAGTTTGATAAAATGAAATTAGATTAAATCTCCTTTGCTACAGTCCCACTAACACTCATTAACACATAAATTCATTAATCAAAGGTGATAAAAGGATAAGGATAATCACCTTTATTGGCCAAGTATGTTACACACAAGGAATTTGTTTCCGGTACAGAACCAATGGCAGCCATCTGCTTTGCCTGCTAAACCTATATTGTATATTTATGAATGTTTAAGGTATAACAATACTCGGCTCAGGAGGTAGAGCGGGCTGTTTCCCCAACCAGAAGGTTAGCGGCTTGATTCCCGGCTTATTGGGTCCATGCGTTGAAGTGTCCTTGAGCAAAACATAGAAACATCAGTTGCTCCTGGTGACGCATTACAGAGAAAGTACAAACAGTTCAGGTGTTTTGCAATTAAAATAGTTTACACAGAACATAGGCAATTATTTTTAGATTCAGTATGATTTACATTTGCAAATAGGATAGGAATAAGGATATTACTTCAGTTAAATCCATTGCAGATAAACATCCATGAATCCGCTTTGAAATAATAAAGAAAAGACACTTCTTTTATCTTCAGAATTTGCCTGAGCTATTAGGTTTTCTTCACTATCGTAATCAAGTAGCAGTTATATCCACCTGGGGCAAAAACTAACTGCTAATAGCTAATTCTGTGTACTTCTGATGGTCCCAGTTTGCTAAGATACAAACAAATATAGGCTAAAAAAGCAGGGCTCATGTTGTAGCCCGCATTGTAAAACACTGACTGTATGTCTTTTTTATTTTGTCTAAGGGGGCCCACAGCATCACATTTTAAAGCACTGGTTATCTTTGTGAGTACCATGTTCTTGTATGTTGTCCAAAACTGCAAAAATAAACCAAAGCCGTCCTTCAAGTAGACTTCTCCCTGGGAGCCTGATATAATATCTGCACATATAACATTTGTTTGTATGTGAGTGATAATGATAGAGCGTAGCGAGTGAATATCTGTGACCACACAATACAGCTCAAACCATGGCAGAAAGTTGAGCTTATAGGTGAGATTTACTCTTTGTGCCGATTCCCTCAAGACCAAAGGGGAAGAGTTTCCCACACAGTTCACCACAGGTCACACTTTTATTGCTGATGTTTCAGTGAAATCTTTTTTCTCACCACACTGAGGGAATGTGATGAATTAAAGGCCTTTGGCTGTGCAGAAGAAGGGAGATAAACAGGTTAGCAGAGAGTGGAAACCTCAGATATAGTTTTGACTTGGCTCGACTCTTTGACTGAAAAGAATGCACCGGTGTGTATGTGTGACAGGCCAGTAAAGGTTTAAGATTTTTTTTGTTGAGTCTTTGTATTGTCGTAAGCCACCGCTGTCCTCTCCTGACGCTGCTGCAGAAAGAAAACATCATATGCCAATATGTACTGATTGTATATAAGAAGAAGCTACTGTGTGTCAGACGTGTCGACATTCATGTGATTCATGTTTAAGCCGATCTCATCCCCCCCCCAGCTGTGTACGAACAATCCTGCGAGGCGTACAAACACAATGGCAACACGTCGGGACATTATTATATCGACGTGGACGGCAGTGGCCCAATCAAACCGCAGCTGGTCTACTGCAACATGACAGGTGACACACACACACACACACTTTTCCTCCCATCATCACTCAGCATATGAATAACATTTACATAACTGTAAATGATGATGCTCCTCTCATCACGCTCTTTTATTGTTTCCTTCTCAACCTCGGTCTCCCCCTGTCTGTATCTGCATAGCCACGTAAATTTAAATTACGATGACACACATCCTCTTTCTCTCTCAGTGCTTCAAATAATTTGAATACTTGTAAACATTTTAAAAGTGCTGATATTCTTTTTCTGTCCTCTTGTTTGGGTTTTTGTTTTCAGTTCATGCTCAAGTTCATGTATGATTTAATTATGTTAATAGAAAACGACTCCCATTGCAGTGGCCACTGTTAATCATACATACATATATACCTACATGCATACTCTATATCTCAGTAGAGGCCAATGACAAACGAGAACACACAATATGGATTTATACAATTAATGATCATATTTACTTGTATGTATTTGTTCTCATCAGAAGAGAACACGTGGATGGTGATCCAGCACAACAACAGCGAGCTGACCAGAGTCCGACCATCTCCGGGTGTAAACCAGCATTTACTTTACTTTGACTACTCCTCTGAAGAGGAACACCTGCTGGCTGTTATCAGCCAATCAGAGCACTGTGAACAGGAACTGTCCTACCACTGCAGGAAGTCCCGCCTCCTCAACACCCCAGGTGAGGCCTGTTTGTCTGCTGGTTTTGTCACATGTCATAAATGATAGATGATTTCTAGCTACAGCTTATCTCATGCTGTCAGTTTCACTGTTGAGCAGGTAGGCCAGAACAGACATAAACCATCTGCAAATGAGTTTGTATTTCAAACTGTGCAGTTATTTTAGTTAATTTTGTTAGTCATTATCTCAGAAACACCTTCTTATAATTTTCACTAAAGAACTTGAATTATCTGCTGTAAAGGAGCAAAAGCTTTTTTTTTTTGTTCATTTTGTTTGTGATTACTCTAAAAATTCAAAAGTAGATTTTATCTAATCTTAATCCTTCTAATCTTTTACTCTTATCTCAGGCAGAGCACTCCAGTGTTTTATTTCCACCCTTTTCCCTCTAGTGCCTGCTTAAATAAGAAAAGGCTGTAGACAAGAACTTGCTCTTAATTGACTTGGTAGGTTAAGTAAAAGTTAATGAAGGTGTGGTTAAGCAGGCTGTTTTCATCTGGAGCTCTCCACAGCTGTTTCTCACTCTCAGCCAAAAAACAAAGTCATTCTGCTCTTTGTTTTACATTTACTTGGTCTACATGGATTTCTCCTCTTTAACAAATGATTTTGACAACTTTATGTTTGCTTTGTTTTTGTTTGCGTGTGTTGACTCAGAGGTGGTGAATGTTAGAAAATGAATGAGAATCACTTTGAGGTTTCATTGAATTTGTCTTTGAATTTAGCTGACATGTTCAAAGTCTATATACTGTACAGGAAAAACAGCACATCAGTGTAATAATGCCCAGTTTTATAAGAATTATGTGTATTTGAAAAAGCGTATATCAGTGCTGAAACAGTTAATCGAGTTATTGATTAGGTGAGAGAGACAACCACGACTAGCTTTAGCCCTGCATGTAAAAACACAGCCGTCTAATTCCTTTGAACGGTGCCTGTTGTTTGGCACGACAGGGGTTGCAGTACATTAGGGTTTAGGACCAGTGACCTCAAAGGTATAGTCTGCTGAAGTTTTGAGTTTAGAATGAGGAACAGACAGTAAAACCTGATCTGAGGACCTTTAGAGATCTACTAGTGACATGAGGCTACAGTAGAGCTCAGTGCAGGCAGGTATCTGACCATGCAGGGCTCTGAACATGATTACAAGCATCCCGAGTTTAATTCAAATGGCATGTTAGAAATTTTAATTCAGTTTAATTCAAATGGCATGTTAGAAATGTTGCCTAACAGCAAGAAGGACACATGTTCGAGCCTCAGCCGACCTGGTGCCTTTCTGTGTGGGGTCTGCATGTTCTCCCTGTGCCTGCGTGGGTTCTCTTCGAGTACTCCAGCTTCCTCCCACAGTCCAAAGATATGCAGCTTGAATTTAGCCAGCATTTTGACCATACATGTACAGGTCAGGTTGTTTGGTTCAGCTCGGTGGGCATCTTGTGAAAGGATATGTAAATAAGTTCTTGAAAAAGACAGCCAGCGTTATTAAGGGTTGAAAAAGAATTTAAAAAAGAGGCAGCAGTAGAACATTGTTAGACATGTACAGGGCAGTGAACTGTGTCTTTGTGTGTGTGTGTGTGTGTGTTGCAGAGGGGTCTCCATTCAGCTGGTGGCTTGGTGGTCCTGGTCCTGGACATCTCCAGACATACTGGGGTGGAGCCCAGCCAGACAGCCAGCAGTGTGCCTGTGGCCTGCAGGGCGACTGTGTAGATCCACAACACTACTGCAACTGTGACGCCGACCGCACAGAGTGGTACTGCCTGTTACACACACATAAAGATGATTAGTATTACTGTATGGTACTAGATTAGTGCTAGCTTGCTTCTATATACATCCTCATTTGGTTTGAAAAGTGAGCTCACACCATTCAAGATTCATGCATGTTAAGTGACTGACTCTGAATGTAAACCCATTTACTTTATCATGCAGTCCCATACAGTCCTGCAATTAATCCAAGGTTTGTGAAATGTAGAATTCAGAATGCTTCTGCTTTGTGGTCATTTTTGTAGATGTAGCTGGGTTTGCCTTACTGGAGTGTATCACACAGGGCAGAGGTGGTCAACCATGTGCCAGTCTGCAGGTTTTAACTTATCACTTCAGCAGGTGCTTTCACTGATGAGCTCTCCTTTGCTAACCAGTGGGTAGAGTGTTTGGTGGGAAAACATGCCTCTCAGTGGTACATGGTTTTCCACCATTAGCAGAGGTATGTGTTCTCTTTTATGTTCTGCCCTAGTTTTTATTTTCATTTTGAAGTTTGGCTGTCATGTGTTTAATGAGTAGAAATGAAACCTGAGTGCCTGTAATGATACTTGGCAATTGGCCTCATAAGAGGGTGCATACAGTAACATGTACAAATAAAGGCAGTAAATAAAATACAAGAGAATTCAGTAGCAACAAAAATAAGACAAAGGTACAATAAAAGGATACATCAAAGATTCTACGTTCTATTATATTTTGGTCCAAAGTGACACCATTTCTGCAGACCATTCATCAGATCCTATCATAATACACCACTCTTTTCTTGTCTTGGAGAAATTTTGACAAGAAGATTGACCTGATCAGAGGTGCCTAAAGCTGAACATGGGTGTAAATGGACAGAGCTGCTCGTTCAGCTGTCTATCCCGACTACTCTTTTGGAAATGGCCATCACAGAAAGTGGCAGAGTTGGAGTGTTGAGTGTCAGGATGAATATGATGTAATCTGACTCGCTGTCATCTTATTACCAAGCATTGCATGTAATTTTATCTCGGTTAGGAATCCAGTAAAATGCTCTCTATCCTTTTTCTTACTTATTGGTTTGTTTAAACTAAAACGTATTCATCTTATCATCCTCCTCCCTGTTCTCTTTTTAACGTTCCCCTCCTGACATTTCTTTCTCATCCATGTCTCCTTCTTTGCAAATACTCAAACTTTTTCCTCCATTTTCGGATCATTCTCTTCCTCTTGTTCAGATTTTTCATCTCATACTCCTCACCCTTCAACTCTCTATATCTTCCTTCTCCTGCCTTCTTCACCCTCCTTTCTCAACCTCACATCCTTTTCTTGTTCATTTCCACTTTCTCCCTTTTTCTTTCTGTCCATTGCTTCTCATTTCCTCTTCAATTTCACCTCTTTCTTTCTCCCTTTTCCTCCCATTTTGTTTATCTGATCTTGTTCTTAATTTCTGCTTGTCCCCCTCCTTTTTCTTCTCCTTCCCCATCTTTTGTATTGCTTCTCCTCCTCCTCCACCTAATTCTTCTTCTGTTGCCCACGTTCTCCTGTTCCTCTTCCTGTTCTTTTGGTATTTTCTGTTTTTTCTCCTCCTTTTTCTTTCTCTCCTTCTCTTCCTTTATCACATTGTCTGCTACCCTCTTTTTCCTCGTTGTCCTTAATCTTACTCTTCCTTTTTCCCTCTTATCCATCCTGTTTTCTTCACCCTTTCTCCTACACCACTCCTTTCCATTCCTATACCCTTTGTCTCTATTTATTATCTTCATCCTCTGCTTTCTTTAATTTCCCCCTCTTCTTCTTCCTCCTCCTACAGGACTGAAGACTCAGGGCTGCTGACCCATATGGGGAGCCTCCCAGTCAGGTCGCTTGTGCTGGGCGACATCCAGAGGCCAGGGTCAGAGGCTACCTATAGGGTGGGACCACTCCGTTGTCATGGAGACAGTAAGTCCAACTCTGGTTGCCAAATTACATTTGATGGAGAGATGACAAATCTTTTTCACCTTTTCTCTTTTGTCCAACAAACAAAGGTTTATGTTAGATTCTGGGACAGTACCTCTACACCTAGAAGCTAATTATCATCAGCAGAACTGTTGCTAATGTTTACTTCCTTTTATGTTTTCACACTCTGATACTTGCTTCTTATTAAATGCATTACAAGGTAAATCAAGATAGCATGCTGCTTTTACTTTTTCAATTAATTGTAATTGCTGCTGTAAAGAAATGCTTGGCATGTTTAATTAGACAAGACAATGTAACAGAAATCATATCCTTGTGTAAGCTCATTAGCAGAGCACATTACCTCATTTGTGTGCTGTGTGTTCCCTTTAAAGGTCTAATCAGTGAGCTGTCATTGTGTTTCTTAGAAAACCTCTGGAACGCTGCGTTTTTTGACAAGGAGACATCATACCTCCATTTTCCCACTTTCCACGGAGAACTGAGTGCAGACATCACCTTCCTGTTTAAAACCACCTCCTCCTCTGGTGTTTTCCTGGAAAACCTCGGCATCAAAGACTTCATCCGGATCGAACTGAGCTGTAAGTAGAGCTGTAGGGTGGAGATTTAATCCAGATTAGAATGAAACCTAGGAGTCAAACTCTTAATCTGGATCTGTGTAAAACCCAGAGGGTTCAGACTTAATCTGTTTCCTGGAGGGAGAATGTTGTTTATTTTAGGATGTTGAGTGCAGTCGTCTTGACCTTCATGTCCCACTTTAACTGTGAATGTCACACAAAGTTGAACAGTACTTCATCCTAACCATCTGAAACCTAAACATTGGACTCGTATGTAATTGACCATTTCATTCCAAAATAATACATAATGTTATGAGAAGGACAGTCAGGCTCTCCACATCAGCGTTTCTCTGTAGACCTGCCTTTGTGCACAAGAGCACTCTCATGTTGAAAAAGATAAGTGGCAACCTATGCGTTGCCAGACACCTGAAAATGCACAACTATCTAAAACACTCTGAAAAGTTGGTTTTATAGTAGGTATTATAAGTCTTTACTCAGAAATAACTGACAAAAGTAGTTTTAAGAAACATCCTTCGCCATTATTTATTAAGAATTTAAAACTCAAATCAGATAATCTCTGCCTTCACAGCTGTGGTAGGTATGGTGTGATCAAATTTGATCAACAGTATAAGCAATCAACCTGACATTAAGGCACAGAAATGCATGACTTTACCTTCTTCCAGCTGAGTCATGTTCACTTCAAACCAGTGACAGAAGTGCAGAGAAAAATAGAAAAAACCAAAACAGTTCAAATCTTGGCAGAAAGTAGTACATGGGCATGACTATACCTGATCACTCAGAGTATGAACCTGACTTCGGGGCCTTTTAGAGATTTCTTCTGTTGAGCTGGGGCCTAAACCATGAAAGATACAAGTACGGAGGTGAAAGTGTCCATGCAAAGGCAGCCTAAACTTTAAACTTTGAGAATCTGGTGCCCTTGACACACTTCAAATCAAGAGAATATTGCTTCATTTAGAGAAATATGCTTCTTTGCATTCATTCCAAGAGTGAGACAAGCAGATGTAAACCAATCTCACATCTGTACATTAAGCAGCGCTGGAGGAAAAACATGTTCAGTAATAAGAACCGTATAGACTAGCTGCTCTGTCCACAGTGAGAAAATGTGTTGAACAATATCTACAGCAACCTGATTAATTTGATGTTTCTCATTTGTTTTGGGCTTCTGTTTTTATTGCTTCAGCAATTCCTTCAGTTTGAGCTCTCTGTATTCGGTTTAGTTTTCCAGCCATCACCCATGAGGGGTGTTATTTAGAATATGACAGCAATAACCAAGAGGGTATTATTTAACTTTATAGGTAAAGCATTGTGTCTGGGAAGGTGTTGCGCGCACAGCTCTCTTTGCTGTGGTGTCATTTAAACTATGGCAGAAAAACACACATGGGTGTTCTTTACTATGGTTATGATCATAATGCAGCAAAGTGAGCGGTACTCTTGGTATCTGGTGTTTTATAAAGTCTTATATAAATGCCTTGAATCAGTTATTAGGGTTGTAAGTGGCAGCCTTTTGAAGCGCAGTTAGCCCATCTCACCAATTTAGTTAGAGTTCAGTTTGCTGTTTCTGTGCTGCATTTTCACATAGGTGGGATCTGAAGGGGCACACACAGAGTACAGTACAGGGACACTGCTGCACCAACTGCCTGGCTCCTTAGGGAAATCACTGTCTGTGTAGTTGTTCCAGCTCTGAATATGGCTGCTCTGCTGGCGGCTGCCTCAGATCCCTCTGTAACACTGCAGCTGAGCCTGAGAACAGTTTCTAAATGAAGTTACAGTAGTATGCTGGGATATTTCATTGTGTTCTCTACTCCCACAGTCATCTATCTTCTCCTTCCAAAATGTGTTGCAGAAACTCCAATGCTCTCCAACATCCTCTCCTTTTGTTGGGATGAACATATCAGGGTTTTTGTGAGCTAACTCAAAAGCTATAAGACTGAAATGTCTTGGCTTCCATTTAGTATTGGAATGTTGAGTGATATAATGATGTATACCACAAGAGTATAGAGAGTATAGATTTAGTTACAGTCTCTATGTCGAGATAACTGGATGTATTAGACCGTGGTGGGCAGGTATATTGATCACCAATGTCTGTTTTATGGCAAAGTTGGACAAAAAAATTGTGCAGTAACTTTGAAAATAACTTAAGGAAGTTAAGGTGTCCAAATTTAGATGAGTTAGTGGACTATTAAATTCTGAGCGTCCCCTGTGACCCTCTTCAGGATAAGTGGATGGATGTTAGTGTTGTGAAATAAGTCTGCAGGCCACATTATCGATTTATCTGCTTTCTCACCCTGTTTTTGCTTCTGTTGTTTTCAGAAAAATGCAGCGTTCCCCCTCCGACTGCACCTTGATGTCTCTTTTCTTTTTAGCCTCCACTCAGGTGGTTTTCTCCTTCGATGTGGGTAACGGGCCACTGGAGGTTCATGTGGAGTCGAGCGTCCCGCTGAATGACAACCGGTGGCATCGAGTGCGAGCCGAGAGGAACGTCAAGGAGGCTTTGCTTCAACTGGATGAACTTCCTGCTGCCACACAGGAGGCTCCTGCAGATGGACACTTCCACCTGCAGCTCAACAGTCAGCTGTTCATAGGTGAGCAGGAAACGCACGTGAACAGTAGTTCTGGTGGATTAGCAGTTTGTATCAGAATTTGTTTATTTTCAGGTGTTTGCAACCTGCAAATTAATCTTACAGAGGCATACACATTTCTGATTTCTCTGGGTGAAGCTCCTAATGTGTAGTTTTTAGTTGTATAGAATTAATTCACTGGTTATTTTTGAGGCTATGGACTGCATTTAGTTTAGCAAATATGCTGCTGCTGCTGTGTGTGTGTGTTAGTGTCCAGTGGTGACGGATATTCCTCATTCCCTCTGTAGTATGTCATTATGTAGCATATGTCTTGATGATTTCTGTTTATGGCTGATGCACTAGCAATTCAGGCAGCAGCACTCAATTTTGTGCATAACAATGGAGTCTTGTTGAGTACCAATTAACAGTGTGTGTGTCCACTTTAGTAAACCTCATTCACCATTTTCATTAATGCATTTTACAGAAAGGTACTGTAGCCATGTACTATAATTAGGTCAGATGTGGGATAACTGAATACAGAAGAAATGGAAGGGCATGGATGATTTTTGTTGACAAAACCATGGTATAGACTGCACAGACACAGTTGTTTACTATTTGGCTACATCCCAGTTAAGTATTTAAAAAAAAAACACAGAGACAGACACTGCTATGATTAAGCTACAGATGCATTATCAATTACTGAAAAACTTTTTTGAAAGTTAAAGAACTCTCAAATTATTAATGCAGACTGTTTTATGGAATAACAATGCCACCGAATATTTAATTTTTAGACGTGAAGTGCCAGTATCAGAACAAATCCACCATTAGAGCTTCACTGGAAATATTGTTTACAGTAGTTATACTTCTGTATAGTAAATGTTTGTATAGGTAAATCTTTATTTACAGTATAAACTTCTTATTGATTGAGATCTGAGGCACAGGACAGAAGCAGGTCTGACCTCCTCTTACAACCCTACATGCTCTAGGGGATGGATATGTTCTATAGCAAAGTGATAAACTGGTATTGGCTAAATGCCACCAGCTACTCAGCACTATTGGCTATGAAAGTGCTGAGTCAGTGGTTTCTAAGCGCTGACCAATAATCACGTTCAGTATATAAATATATGCACCAGGGAACAGGAATAATTTCTTGCAGTGAGAAAATAGTTCGGTGTAAATGAATCTGAATGTGTCAGTTATTCACTTGGCAGTTATGTAATTTACCATCAGCATGCTGAGAATCTCCAGTGCAGACTTCATCGATACTGTTTGTCTCTTCTGTTTGGAGGTTGTTGTGTGACTGTTGACTGTGCAGAATTCCTCTGTACATTTACAATATCTTGTTGTGAACAGCTCAGAGCCCACAATTCCTCCCCAGAGATGTACAGCATGTAAGATAAAATCTGGTGTTATTTGGATTCACAGCTCTCAGCACTGGCTTGTTTAAATTAATGAACCATCTTATCACTTGCATTATATTTATTTCTTGATTTGTGTGGCAAACTGCTTTAGCATTGGTTCAGTTATAATCTGCTTTTTAGGTTTGTACAGATTCATAAGCCAAACCTCAATGTACGCTGGTTTATGAGTCATAATCCTACCTTGCTTTTAAAAGGCAGTCGACTCCATTGTTTTAATAAGCCGTGTTACTGTCTCGCATGGATTTATAATCCATAGCATTGTTTGTTCAGTGCTGTTTGTATTATGGGTGCAAAACATCCTTGCATAGCAATTTTGAATGCGTTCACCCATGAAGCAGAATGAATCTTTTGTGGAGGTTTATAATCTATTGTGTTGCCTTGTTTGGAAAGTTAAGTCTTGATATATTTGTGCTGCATCACCATCCACTGATGTGCTTGTACAATTTCTTCTTCTCTGCCTCTATGTGGAGATGAAGCTCCCTCCTGATTTCTTTGATCTTTGCTTCACACTTCCCTTGAAATGCAGCAGTGTTGATCATGGATCATCCTGAAATGTATCATCTAAGCAAGTGTTCTCATAAGTTAGGGTGAGCTGGTAATCCATGTTGACTGCTATGCTTTTTCTTCTAGCCCTCTCTGGTGTGGCATAAAACAGTTACATAGATTTTAAAAACTGTTGTGTTGAGGTGTCTTTTGATTTCAACATCACAAATTCTTTATATCGCAGTGGATCTGGCCTCAAAACAGTTTCAGGGTAAACTGTTATTGTGGAAACTGTATTCCATGTTGAAGTTAAGTTTTTAACCCCTCACTGTTCTGATCTGTGTGAGGGGTGTGAGGGGTCTGCAGAGATCTTCTGCCCTCCTTTTGGCCCGCGAGGTGAGCAGGTCCTCCATGGAGGGCAGGCTGCCACCGATGATTCTTTGTGGAGTTTGCTCCTGTCTTGTGTGGTTGCTGAACCAAATCAAACAGTAATAGAACTGCAGAGAACAGACTCAGTGATTCCGCTGTAGAACTGTTTCAGCAGCCTTTCGGCCCGGTTGTGCAGGAAGTACATCCTCTGCTGTGCCTTTTGATGACGGTGCTGACGTCCTCTTCAAGTCTGAATTTCAACATCCTGGAGTTGGGGTCAGATGGGTAACTGGAGTTGGTTTTCTGGATGAAACTGCACAGGTAGTGAAAGTGTTTACATGCATACTAATGCCCTTATGTGTCATTTACTGAAAGGTAATGTTTCTTTTCAGTTTGAGATTTAGTGGGGGAAAAACCCTGATTCAAAATGTTGTGGGGTTTGTTTTGTTTTTTTTGAGGAGACATTTTAAAAAAGCCATTTTCCTGACGAGATAAACTGAATCATTGTGCAGAAAACTAGGTGCATTGACTGGGTTAAGCAAGCTGTGATTATGATTAACATGCTAATACATTTACATATTTACATAAGAGATGTGAGCAGCGCCTTTATGAGGAAAGGTCACATTATTAGAATGCAGGAGAGCGGTGTCATTTGTGAATTGTAGTTTATAGTTTCCTCAGTTTTAACACAAATGTTAATTATTTTCAGAAGACTTAAGACTGGAAACCAATCTTCAATGTGTTGTGTCACATGAAATGTTGAGGAAAGTTTCATATCCTGTGTTGCTTAGTTGGTTCAATAATTCACACCAGTCAAATCAGAGAGAGGAGGCCGACAAGAATCTAACAGAGCTCAGTGATTTATCGGTGTGAAAAGCTTCTGCTGCTGAACAATAGGAAGCTGTCATCTTAAGGCTCCGAGAGAAAAAAGCTGCCAAATTTGTGCTCAGAGTACAATAAGAGTTTCAGTCTGCAATCTCTGCAGAAATAGGAGGTTGTCATGTTTGAACTATGTGAACAGTAGGTGACCATGTTAGATTTCAGAGAGAATGCACATTGTTGAATACAATTTGAACTGCAGTATTGAAGTGAATATATGCAGCATATCCTGCTTTCAGACAGGCAGAGAGACAGCCATTGAAAGCTATGTCCCCAAAACAGTTTTCACCTACAGCTTGATGCCTTGTTGCCAATTCAATTCATTTCATAAGAGCTGACAGTTTGGAGTTTCTGAAGGAGCAGAGGCGACATGTGGATCTACTGTAGCTGACAGGAGGGGGAAAAATTAAACAGCAGAGAGAAAGAAAACCTACAGACTTGTCACTGCACAAAGAAATGAATGAAGGAAGGATGAACAAGGACAGAGCATGTGCTGCTCTGTTGAAGCAGATATTTGTTACCTATTTTGTCTGGAAGCCTCTGGTTGAATGTCTAAAATGTAAATGGAATGCTAAAATCATGCAGTGGTTTTATGTTATCAGGAGGCACAGCATCCAGGCAGAAGGGCTTCCGAGGCTGCATTCGCTCTCTGCAGCTGAACGGTGTGACGCTGGACCTGGAGGAGAGGGCGAAGATCACACCTGGGGTTCGACCTGGCTGCCCTGGTCACTGCAGCAGCTACGGCTCGCTCTGCCTGAACCAGGGCCACTGTGTGGAGCGAGCCAGCGGCTTTCACTGTGACTGTGGCCTGTCGGCTTACGCTGGAGTCTTCTGCCATACAGGTATACACACACACACACACACACCCACACACACAAAAAAAAACGAGGTCCACTGTGTGGAGCGTGCAAGCGGCTTTCACTGTGACGGTGGCGTGTCTGCTTACGCTGGAGTCTTCTGCCATACAGGTATACACACACACACACACACACACACACACACACACACACACACACACACACACACACACGGTTTCCTGTAGCTGGTGAAGTTAGCAACTTTTTTGATAGAAACACTTATCATTTTGTCAGTAATCTGCATTCATTATTTTCCTACATATTGGGCAGAAGAGCTCCACAACAAGCACAGACACAATTATAACCATGGCGCATTGTCATCTTATAAGATTATTACATTTAATGTTTCATATAGGGATGTATTTAGTTCAAGTTTGGCGTGGATTGTTTGGTGTTCTAGCTGTTGGTGCAGTTGCCCGTGTGTGTGAAAATAAGAGAAAAAGGTCATTTCTGTCTCTGGCTCCTTCCTCAAACTGGCCTAGTTATACAAATCATGTTGTCTAATCTTGTAATTTGGTAACTACATAGCTGAAGCTCTGTTAATCAACAATGAAATGTATATGTTAAAACAACCCTCTCTCTTCCTCCAGAGGTGTCGGCCAGCTTCAAGTCGGACACGTCTGTCAGCTACACCTTCAAGGAGCCCTATGAGTTCATCAGGAACAGCAGCGCTCTGCCGTCTTCCATCTACTCTGACACGACCCTGAGGGGAGAGAACGTCTCCCTGAGCTTCAGGACGAACCAGAGTCCGGCTCTGCTGCTCTACGTCAGCTCCCACTACAGAGAGTACCTGGCCCTGCTCATCAATGAGTACGGTGAGGAGGGCGCACACATGCTTTTATTGTTTGGTTCACATTCAAACCACAGGTGGAGTGACTTGTTTTGATTTAATGCCCTGTTTTCCTCAGTTGCTTTTATTAATATTAATGTTTTTCTCAACAGTGTTTGTATGTAAAGTTTCACTCTCTTCCCTCCTTTCTTCAGCTTCTCTACAGTTTTCTTCGTATCCTGCTTTTCTGATTCTTGCCTCTAATTACTCCCATTAGCTTTGGTTAATTTTCTCTGGTTTCCTTTTTTGTTCTTTTCTTTTTAACTACAGTTTCCAAACCACAGAGACTACAAGTCTGTTCAACACTCTCCTTTTCATCTCTCTTTGTCTTCTTCCTTGAACGTTTTCCAATTAGTCCCCTCTCATCACATCTCCTCCCTGGCTCTCACCTCCCTGGCTCTCTCCCATTTCTGTCATCTTCTCCTAATATCAACCTCTTCTCCTCTCTCCCTCCTCGTCGTCCACTGCTCTGCAGCCTGACCAGATCTATCAGGATGTGTCAGATCTTTCCTCTCCCTGGATTCACCCCGTCAGCCTCTACTGCCTTTTAATCTGTCCAGCTGCGTCGGCTATTATGTTTTGTCTCAGGCTAAAAAAGTGTTCACTGAGAGAATAAAGATTTAGTGGGCTGTTAATGGGGGAGGTCACTATGCCTCTGAAAAGTAGCAGAAAACTTTTGAGTCCAATAATTATCTTGTGGCTTTGGCTTGTAAAAGTAGTAGGAGGCACTTTGACTCTAAACTTTCATTTTCAGCATCCAGGAGTCTAATAAAAGCAGCACTTTACTGCTAGATTAGCAGTCAAGTGGATTTTTTCCTGGTGTTAATGACTCAGAGAAAGCTGATGGGGCTACGTGCTGATCGTGGAGTCGTCAGGTAAATGCTCTTAAACTGAAGTATCCAATTAAATCCCTGAGAGCTTTCGCTTGTTTGCCTTGAGATGTCTCATTTCTTTTGACTGCAGTTCCACCTCCTCAGCCCAAGCATAAGCCCTTTACCTACTGTCGGGCCTCTTGTTATCGGAGCAGCAGTACAAACCAATTAGTTTGTGATATATGATTGTTTTGTATTTATACTAATATAGCGCCTTCTGTGGAAAAAAATGTATTCCCCCTCTTTTACCTAAACTCAGAATATATCACAGGGCTTTTGTTAAATCTCATAATTCTCTGAATATTTGAAAATTAATTAGATTAAATTAAATTAGTTCTGTTCTTGATAGGGAATTAGCTCTTATCCTTTTTAATATAGAAATTTTAAATAATAGAGCAACCACTTCTTTAAAATATTCAGATTAATCTTTGGAAGATTAAATATGTCCTTACTTTAACCAAGATTATCGGACATGAAAAGACAATTTCAGGAAAAAAATTGTTACCTGAGTCATAGCTCACTTGCAATGATAGTGATCTGAGGGTTTAGTCCTGTACATTTACTATGAGAAACTGTAAAGGTAACTGTGTGTGTATGTGTTTGTGCGCGTGTGTTGCATCTGAAGATAAGCTGGAGGTGAGATACAAGCTGGACAACAACAGAGAAGCTGAAGTGCTGACGAGCAGCACAAGGAGCCTGGCCAATGGACAGCTACACACAGTTGCCATCCAGAGAGTGACGAACTCTGTCTCTGTGCAGGTAACGCATACACACTGCAGTATATACACGGTTTCTGTTGATACTGTAGACTCAACACATCTGTCAGTTTACCAAAGTGTTGTGGCTAATGTGTTAGCAAACACCTCTGTAGACATCCAACAGCCTGGAGTCTTTCTGTTGTTCCGCTGGATTAAGGTCAGGATTTGTAGCAGGCTACGTCAGAACTCCAGTTCTCATCTGTTCTTTGGTGCTTTTAGATGGAGGTTTTGTTTATTCTGTTGGGGGATCAGTGACCTGCACCTGGGACAGAGCTTTCTAACGTTTGGCAGTATGTTTATTATCAGAATACCTTGATAATCTTCTGATTTCATGGTTCCCTGGACCAGGTTCAAGGTGCTCTCTACTGGATCCAGCAAAGCATCCTCATAAATAACCGAGTCTCCTCCATGTTTCACAATGGGAAGGATGTTTGTTTGCAAGAGTTAATAGAAAGGGGAGAATGTCTGCTACATTAGTCCTGCTGAGAACACTGTTCTTTTTGAAATGTGTGTATTTGCTGTTTTACCACTGGTTGGATACACTGTACATATACATACACTTCATGTGGAGCCAGTTAATTCCTTCACTGTGTACTATAGTGTATATTTGGACATGGTCTCCCCTTCTCCAAGGTGTGACCAGTCAAGGCCGATCACTCTGAAAACCAGCCATTTCCAGTGTCCTCTGGTCGATGCATCATTATTTTTATCACCATTTCTAAGGGGTACAAATAATGTTGTTACCATTATGAGATCTTTGTAGGAAAAGCAGGAATTCAGCTCTTTGTTCTGTGGCTTATGGATTCAGTTGTGCCAAAAGTGTTTTTAAGTTTAGAACTTTCCAGGAAGCACGGAGCATTGCTTCACTTAAGTGTGTGACACCACCGACACTTTTACTCATGTTTGTATTCATGCACATTCCTGATTTATAATGTCGGACTGCATGTGTTGTAAAACCACTGCTCTGACCCTGCAGCCACAGCAGCTGCAATAAGACACCAGTCTCTACCACAAATACAATGACACATACATATGCAGTCCCATCTACCTTCCTAACAGTTTATATTCTTTTATAAGGGACAAACTCCACAATAAACCAGCCACATATATGAAGTGCCTTAATCGTGTCTGGATCTACTGGATCTCCTTTATTTAAGCAGGACCTGGCTGCCTGCATGTGTGTATAATTATCAGCACAGTAAGATGAAACACAAGGTGACCTTGTCATGCTTAAGTGCAGCCTCCTGGTTCGCTGTTGTGTGGCTCGAGTGAAATATGAGGTGCATCTCATCTTATCACTTTACATCACACAGTTATTAGATTTATCTTTAGCAGCATTCTGTAAAAAGCTTAAGAAGGCAGTGTACTCAAAGAATATTTCTATTTACAAGAGATTTACATAAAATCGGGTGGGTTTTGGTCTTCCAAAAGTAAATACAAACTTTTATGTTGAACTCGCCATGAGATTTGCATGCAGGGTATCTGCTGCTCAGTCACCAAAGTCAGAACATTTGTTAGATGCTTATGGGCTCTAACATTAGAAAACACTGAAAGTAATTGTACAAATAACACGCTGCTTTCAGATCGACCAAAATGCCAAAGAGGACTTCAACCTGACATCTGATGGAGAATTCAACACTGTCAAGTCTCTGGTGTTGGGCAGAGTGCACGGTAAGTGAGGAGGCAGTAAAAGCAAAGACAAGGCCTTTTTAGTCAGAGAGCACTCAGACTCATTTGAATAACAGCTCTGGGATGTTTGGCCTCATTTGACATTGAGCTTAGAAAAGTTTAAAGAAATAAATGCAGCTTCAGTTGTTTGCACCAAGACAAACATTTTATGCAAATTATCTGAAGAAATCTGAGGCAAAATGTAAGAACTACTTAAGCACAAAGGTGGAGTTCAGGGTTCAGGATTAAGAGTCTGAGCGTCCAGTCCAGCAGGTTGTATCACAGCTTTACACACTTTAACAATATGAAACCCAGATGAAAATCTGATTAAAGCACTTACTGTATTTGCTCCCCCAGTGTTTTGCAAATTTTACTTGAACTTTGTTCCAGTGCTGGTTTCAAGATGTAATAGCAAATCTAAAAATATTAGTAATTAATGATAAGTTTTGTGAATTTCATTTAGCACATTTAACGTTCTATCATAACTAGGGGAGGAAGATGGGGCGGGGGGGAATGTTACACAGGTTTAAGAAGCCTTAAGTAAAAGTGTAGATATGTTTATAATCAATTATCGCAGGGTCAAGCGCAGGGATTAACCAGGAAGATGCTCTCATGTAACAAACCTGCCCAGATTTTTTATTTTTATTTTAAAGCTTGGACAAAAGTTCCTCAACTTCTGAGAGGGTTAAACTACATTTCCATTGAGCTACTGTTTTTAGTCCTGAACAGGGACCTGGAACTGATGCGAGGTGAGACAGTAATTGGCTCTGTCATGACTTATTCATGTTCTCTGTGAGCAGCTCCATCAGAGACGGACTGAGATAGAAGCTGTTAATAACACGGGGGCCTGAGAGGCCACAGGCTGCAGTCAAAGCTCTCTCAGTGCAGTCTGAGACGAAGTATGGTACAAATACAGGCTTGTGTTACTGGTACTTTAAAAATTTTAGCTCATTTTTTTTTTTTTTAGATCCCCTCTGTCAACCCAGAGGGGGCAGAGAGTCAGATCTGGATCAGAAAAGCAGCAGGAAAGTGGATTTTCTGTTGTTTCCTGCCAACCCTGCCATCCATCAGCCTAACTAATGGACCCAGAAGGAATACAGAGAGACAGAGAGAGGGAGAGAGGTGATGGAGTGGAGAGTGTCAGCTGAGAGGAGCTTTCAGGCTGCAGCCATGGGTCCTGCTGCTCTCTTTAACATGCAGATGTCCATCCATCCATCCATCCATCCATCCATTTTCCTCCGCTTATCCGGGATCGGGTCACGGGGGCAGCAGTCTAAGCAAAAATGCCCAGACTTCCCTCTCTCCAGACACTTCCTCCAGCTCCTCCGGGGGAATGCCGAGGTGTTCCCAGGCCAGCCGAGAGACATAGTCCCTCCAG